CTTTACATGTCAGAATATGGTAGTTGACTTTGTGCAGTTGGTAATGTTCAACCCTGCCGCAATTCCAACCCGCTACTCAAACCCGACTCTAACCCGACTCTGACCCGATTTGGACCCTCGATGGAAACGTAGTCTATGTCTTTTTAAAATTATTTTTTGAAATATGTAAATGCAACAACTTTAATACATAATTTTTCCAAATAGTTTGCTCCCAATTATGTATTCAATTAATAACAAAGTTATAAACGATTACAACTTATTAAAAAATACTAATTGAGCAATCATTTTCTTATTGATTATTAATTAATTAAGGGCCGAATGTTTCCATAGATATACATATGTAAAAATTTCTATATTTATATATTTCAAAAATCAATAGTGTAAGTGTATAAATTATATGTAAAAAAGTAATAATTCATTATTTGCTAGCAAAATAATTATTTTCTATTAACGCATCATATGATATATGATCGCATATCAATGTGAGTTCAATGGGTTCTTTGGAATTTGATTGTATTTTAAAAAACCTTGCGTTGTATTACCATGCGTTATATCACCGGCTATCACGTTATACTTGTTTTAGTTGTACAATTTAGTATTTTCATCTAATACCTCTTTTCATTATATGCTAATCGAGTATCAGGAAAACAGCTTGAAGCACAGTCCGCTAAATGGCGCTGTTTTAATATTTTGTCGTTTACTGGTGAAAATAGCAAAATGAATACATAATTGGAATTCTTATCACACTATTTTAAAATTACACTTTTTATACTTACAGAAAGTGATAGTTGCAAACAATCGACTTAAAAATGCTAATGATCGCGACAATTATTCTTTTTTTAAAATAAAGGACAATTGATCTTTAATAACGTTTCATCAATGTAAAATCTTGTTATTATTATGGAAAAATAAGTATTACAGCAAATATGAATACTGTACTCGTTTTTAAAATATGTCCTTTAAATTCTTCAAATTATTTAATATTTATTAGAAAGTAGATGGACACTGACGGAGATTGATAATGGAATCCTTACAGTCGATAATTTCAAGTAATGTTTTAATTAACTGTCGTTATATATCTTTCATTGTTATTCAAAAAATATTGTAACGAATAAGCATTTATAATCACGAACTATTAAATTTTTACTTTGTTGTAAATCAACTGTATAATTTGAAATACTAAAGGGTTGCGATTCTTAGTTTATTATTTATCTAACTATTTTTATATATATCGTTTTTTATTGATAAAAATTTATAAATGTTTCTTATTTGTAATAAAAAATCAACAGTATTATAATAAAGTAAATCGTAAAGAAAAGTAGTATTTAACGAAAGTACATTTATTGCTAACTATGTTGTGATTTAAATTGACAGTAAATATAACATACAATTTGCTAATATAAGATCACGAAGATATATTGATGTGCGAGGATTTTACAGACTAAAAGTTTATAAATAATAAAACTTGCAATATAATTATTTTAATTATATATAAAATATTTGTTAACATTATTTTAATCAGTAAGAATAAAGTGAAATAGTTGAAACAAAACTTGAATAAGCGAAATGGTTTTTAGTTTTGAATCCTATGGAAGGTTAAAACGGTATACAGGTTTTGATCTTTTTTAGTTTGTAAAAATCTTGTTCAAGTAAAACAAAAAATTGCAAAATGAATATTTTGCCAGGAACAGCATCTCTTCTTGAAGAACTTGACAGTATGTATTTTATTAAAAATCTGCTATTTATTAGGTTATACCGGTCTATTATATTTTTGTATCATATAATGTAGTTTTATTTTTTTAAGTATACAAATATTTACTTGTTTATTGTAATACTTTAATTCTGACTTAGAAAAACTTATGGTTTTACTAAGAGATGGCAGAACATTAATTGGGTATCTTAGAAGTGTTGATCAATTTGCTAACATTGTGCTTCATCGTACAATTGAAAGAATTCATGTTGGAAAAGAATATGGAGATATCCCAAGAGGCATTTTTATTGTGAGAGGAGAAAATGTTGTACTTTTAGGAGAAATAGTAATATTACTATTTATTTATATATTTTTATTGAAATGAATATGTTGTATTTTTATTCAAAAAATCCAATATCATTTGATAATAGGACAGAGACAAAGAAAAGGATTTACCATTAACAGAAGTATCTGTTGATGATATTTTAGACGCACAAAGAAGAGAGCAAGAGTTAAAGCAAGATCAGAAACGATTAATAAATAAAGCGTTAAAGGAACGAGGTCTATCATATATTCCAGACATGGGTCACGATGATATGTTCTGACCCATGTCAACATCTTTGACAACTAATACTCTATCATCTACATCTTCGCATAATTCTGAAACTTATGATACATGTTACACATCACTTTCTTCTTGAGAATGAAACAATGACAACCTGTAAAATGTGAGTATTACTAATTATTGTGCAAATAGAAATAATTAGTTAATTATTTCTGTTATCTAATTAGCTTATCAAATTACTATACAAATAATGCAATGAGAGATTAATACATCTAATATTAAGAGAATGATTGTTGATGTCAGTAATATGAAAAATTATATAGTTTTAGTTTTATTGTATTGTATTGACACTAGATGTAGTGCAAAAAATGAACTTGCTGTAATTGTATTATACTTAAAAAAATTGATTAATCTTCCTGCTATATACAATATTTAAATAGAGATCTATTATAATCAATATACAGTCTTTGTATCATCTGTATTAAACATTTAAGTGAATATACTAATTACATTTATGGAATTCTAAAGTTTGTATATTTTTCTATGATCAATTTTACATATCCTATTTTGTATACAGAATTCTTATCTCTGTAATTTGTCGTAATTCAAAATAAAAATAAATGTAAGTAGTATAAAGACTTGATTTAATATAAAAAGTTTTACTAATATCACTGATGTGTACATTCCTCATAATAAATTCATAAAACATGTTTTGTTAAAAATATATAAACTTGTTATAATGTTTAAGATACTCTTTTTTATAAAATCAAGTATATGCAAGTAAATTTTAATTAAAATGAAATATACCAATGAAAGACAATATGTTTAGTGGTTTATAAATACCTTTCTTTGGTGTGGTGTAATAATTGATTTCTAATCATAAAATTAATGAAAAAGTATATACTGCAAAAAATTAAATAGAATATCTTATATATTTTAAAATTAAGTTCATTATTTATAATTTATTTTCATTTATTTAAATGTTAAAATTTAACATTTTATTATAATAACATTGTGGAGTTTTTTATGTAGTTTATCTAGGCTTATATAAATATATATACCAAATTTTAGTTTAATTTCTATACATCAAAAATCTTCATCGAAGATATATAATATGTAGATTCATTATTAAAATACAACCTTAATAATTGTATTTTTTTATATGATATTTACCAAGAATTTTATAAAATGAGAATATTTGTTTTCTTATCAATCCGGTATTTCTTAAAAATATTTGATGTTAACAAATTATGTGTGTTATGTTCGTTTATGACTCATTTAATATATTAAAAACGTGCAGCATAATTATGTGCAGATATTATAAAATGTTTTTCTTTCTATTATGTATCAAAAAGATACAGCAGAGGAGGCATTAAAATATATCTTCTATTTTATAAAAATATTAAAAGTATTCAAATTTTAATTTAAAAAGCTTGAAGTATCTGTCAAATATAAATTTAACTGAAGAGTGATAATATTGAAATAATTTTAAATATAACATGTACTATAATCACATAAAAATTTAATTATACAATATTGTATAATTTAACAGAACAAGAATTGTACAAATTTTTGGATAATACATAAAATAAATGCAACATAGTTTACTATAAAACTATATTTACTATATAAATATTAATAGTTTAAATATTTTTTTTTGTTAAAGAAGTATAAAAGTTACAAAAGTTCTAAAATAAAAATTTTCATATTATAAAAGTGTATTCAAATTATTTTTACTTCTGTATATCATTGATAAATAAACCTACCAGTGTCGTAGATTTCTTTATTATCGATTTAATTTGTTACGATATAAAAATATTATTAAATTAAAAGAAAAATATATTTTGGTACTGATATAATGAGTCAACATATTATAATACAGTATGTCGAAATACGTTGATTTTTCTTTCGATTTTACGTCACATTGTCAAAATGAAGTTTCTTGAAATACATCTTTTATTTTCACTGAATTTAATGTTGATTCACTCAACTGTTTATGTTTAAAACCTTGTTCACGTATACTTTTTGGTATTCTATTTTCTCGTATCGATCTTTTGGAATCATTACGTTGTAAACTTGTTGCTCGCTTTCTTGGCGAATTTATAACTTCTTCATGTTTTTCCAATGAATTACTTGCACTGTTAGTACTACCAGAAATGATACCGGAAGTATCTGATTCTGGTTGATTTCCGTCTAAACAACAAAGTAAACTATCAGAAAGACCATCTTCATTTAAAATGTTTAAGTCGGATTCTGATTGTTCAAAATCGCCCGTACGTGATGTAAAACTGAGATCAACGGGACTTGCTGTTAATACACTTCTCGACAATAAATATTCTCTAAATGTACTTGTTATAGAGACAGTACTTTGCTGTGTGACCGCGTTACAGTCATCTGCAATTGGGGAAATAAGTTTCCGTTTCTCTGTTTCATTTTTGTTGAAGTTTTCTTTATCTTCTACGTTTACAATATCTCCATATATAATTTCACTATCGGTATTATTACGTTTTTGTGATTCTTCAAGAATTGAAGTATAATTTATTGAACCAATAATATCAAGATTTGATCCACGTATATTATTAGATATGCTATGTTGATTCCAACTATTATTAACAGTAGCAAGATTGCAAAGATTTGATCCTGAAACCATCATCACTGGTTTTCTTGATCGTGGTGTCATCATTGTTTCCTGCAATCAATATGTAAATATTTTTGTTGTTTTTCTTTTACACTTAAAATAATCAGTAATTTGAATTTTTTATAAATTATTAAAACATAGTGTTTCAATGTGATTTATATAATTTAAATAATCATGGTAATAAATACACACCTGCATAGCTTTGGTCATTTTAGTTGCACTTTGTGTAATTGGACTCATGCTTTTATCATTATTAGTAATAGGAGTTAATATATAATCGTTATTAACTAAGCTTTTGCGTAATAAATTTGATGGTGTTGATGTATGAGCAACATATACATTCCATAGTCTGTTCTTCACAATAGGCGATAAATTGCATGCATTATCAGTACGCGATTCTGCCTCTGTATGTTGCAATATATTCATATTATCTTCAAAACACTTAGAAGCGGAAACCTCATCAACTGCTCTTAGTGTAGATCCTAAATTTTGTCTAACTGACTGATTTTCATTGGTTTCATGCAAAGTAGTTTGAGGAGAATACACATTCGGTGGTTCACTAAGATGTTTGGATAGTTTAGCAGTGTTAGTCACAGTATTATCATCTTGCTCTGTCTCCTTAATATTAAAATCTTCTTGCAAAGATATATTTGCATCACTTATATTCGAAAGCATAGAATCATCTGTATATGAATTTTCATGAAAACTTTTGCTTGGTTCGTCCATAATATAATTATGATATTTACTATCCAATTGTTCTTCTTTTATATTTACAAATTTCATTAACATGGCCCTTCTTTTTTCCCTGTAATTCCTTAACGTTGGAATATTAAGGCTACCAGTACTATTACTAATATGTTTAGTATGCAGAAGGCTCTCATTATTTGTATCACAATTTTCTATACTCAGTTCATCGTCTGATTTACTATGCAGCATTTTCGTTTGAAGTAATGATTTTTCTAGATCCTAGAGTAACAAGCATGCAAATATGAACATAAATGCGAATATGAACATGCTGTTATAAAATGACATTGTATTAATTACAACATATATATCTTACCGTAGACAATATATTTTCTTCACTGCTTGATCTAGTAATATTGCAACCTATATTAATATCAATAAATTTTTTATGTCCTAAAATTTTCTTCTGAAATATATGTTTTTTAATTGAATCCCCAAGACTTTTTGTTCGAAAGTGTTTGACCTGTCTAGGTGTACCTTGACCATTTTCTTTGTTAAATTGTTTTACAAGCCTCCGTTTTTTAGCTGATTCTGGCATAGCTTGTATGTGAGCATAAAGTTGTGCTAAAGCTGCTTGGGTATCTTGCGTAGAATTTGCTTTTGCTGTTAATTTGTGATCTACAAAACTAAACACAGTATGTGCTGTACCTGTTGTATCTGGTACAGATTCATTTAGCTGCAATCATAAATATTTTTATACATTTTAATAACTTTAGTATCAAGTATATTAATTGATTAAAAAAAAACTTACATCTACTTTCTTGGGACTTAATAACTTTCTTTCCTGTTCTACCCAATATGCCCTTATATCTGTAGCCAACTTTGGTGGAATTTCAAACAATTCATTCCCTTTTTTAATCATAAAAGCAACTAAACATGATAAATTTTGAGAATTAATATGTAAAGCTTCTGGTGATAACTTTCTTGGACACATTAAATGTGGGGTAAAAAGCGTAGCAAGGGTATCACAATTCATTTTGTTACTACATTCAAAACTAGCTGTTTTGTTGAGAAGATTCAGAACATATTTAAGTAAAATTCTGTTCACGGATGGCAATAATAACAGAAGTAATTGTAAGGACCTTAATAATCTTGCATCATTTCCATTTACTTCAGAGCTACATAATTCTAAAAATAATAAAAATATAACTTTTGAATTATAAGTAGAAGTTAAAGGAAAATATTCAGCAAATATATAATTATAAGAATTAGAAATTATATATATTTTACAAATATTTTACCAGCAATTTGACAGTGAGCAGGATAATGCAAATCTGACAATAATGGTTCTGGCAATTCTGCCAAAAATCCTTTTAATACTGATGCACAGTCATGTACACTATATTGGCCATCATTAAGGTTTAATGGAACTCCTTGATATAATGAAGTTTTTAAATCTTGCTGTCTAGTTAGTTTGCCAGTACGCCTAAATATACCTTCTTGGATGATATCTTCAAATTTATTAAAAACAAGAATAAAATGAAAAAAGAATTAACTAAGAATAAAAATACTGATGATATGCCTTTACTCACTTTGTTCTTTAGACAGATAATCTATTAATTGTTTCATATGATTTATTCCATCTTCAGATAAGCTAGCTCCTTCCATACCTTTTTGTAAATTAATTGTTGACTTTGGTTTTTTTGAAAAACTTAAGAGACCCCATTTTTTTAATTTTGTCTTCTCATTGATGCAGTCACTGTCATTAGATCATGGATTTTACAATTAAAAAATTTTTTAAATTTAAAAATCACAGTATAAACTTAAATGTTATTGTCCGAATGAAACTTACTCTTCGGTATTGAGATCTAGTTCAAAAGACAAATGCATTTTGACGAGAGTATGAAATTGTTCTGGATTGACTTTTCGCATTCTAAAAGCCAATTTACCATCCACACCGTCGTTAAAATCTTCCATTATCAATTCCATAATAACGACAGTTTAAACACGTTCTGACATCTTTGAATTTTATACGCACGCTCGTTACCGTTTTGCCGTCAACGGCGGTTATTTTCATTCTAACCAATCTTTCTCCCCATAACTAGGCACATATATTTATGTATACATAACAATTTTTATAACATAATTAATTAACAAATATAAAAAAATATATCAAGTACTAACACCGCATTCATTTATTCAAAATTTTTTTAAAACAGCGATTCAACCAATCCAACCGATTATTTACTATTAAATGGAACTAGATTCATTTGTTAGCACCATCTGGTGGTAGTACATGAAAAAAAGTAACCCTTATCGTTCGTTTCACGAAAGATTATAGTCGGTTTGCGCAAAACTACTAACTTCACTTTACTCTCCCACCAGTTAAAGTATCCCACTAAGTTGCATATTTTATTCTGTAAATCATATACATGATGGACAAAATATACGAATAATGAGAAGAGATGTGTATATCGTCTCAAATTGGATAAAATTAAGTAAAATACTGATACTTTAATGTGATGTAAGATCTCAAAATTTAAAGACATTTAAATTTTAGAATTTTTGCACTGAGACTTTGGAATTTTGTAATTTTGAAATTTTGGGACCTTAACATTTTGAAACTTTAGATATTCTAAAATTCCTGGATTAAAAAATTTTCAAGTCGCTGTTAAATTTCTAAATTCCTAATTTACAAGATTCCGACTCTGCATTTTTAAGTGTCCGAATTCTTAAATTGATATATATAGTTGTAGTCATGTTTAACGTAAGAAGATATTCAAAATAAATAATCACTGAGTATATACGTTTGGTATCGTGAAGAACATACACGCGCATGCATATGTTGAACCAATCAGAGCAAACATGCGCAGAATGAATACAAACTTGTCATATGTTGAGTATGATCTATCACTGAACAGAATATACACATGTGTAAAAATAAATAATACAATATTTGCAAGATTTTATAACATAAAATAATAAACAGGAAATAAATATTCAATCATTAAAACAGTAATAATTTTACCATCGTGCTTATATCATATGTCGATTAAAAACGTACTTCAGTCATTATTGCTACACTTCTGAGTTTTAAGTCATGATTTTTAAAAATAAAGATTCGTTGAAATTAATTAATTACTAGTAGAAAATTTATGTTGTAAAATAAAAGATAAATTGTATTTTTCTTGTGTGGTAAAGAATTATTTCTTGAAAACTTATCGAGACACTTTTTATTATTATAAAAAATGATATACGCGGTAAACAATGTTTTATTTGCAATTTTTCATTAAAGGAGTAAATGTTATAATATTTATTACTATAATAATAATGCAGAAGTATGTAATAAAGTAAAATAATAAAAAATTATTCAATTATAAGATATATTTCTTTTTCTTAATTAAACTTTATCACGTGTGCACGTACATCATTAATAGTTTTTAAATAATCAGTTGGCAATGATTCAAAGCAATCTTATATTTAAATATAATCTTATTAAACAATAAAAAATAACATTACTATTTTAAATAATAAAAGACCAGCGGACAATCACTAAAATAATATTAATAGGTATTTTATATTTATCAAGGTGAACGTATTTTACGATACGTTATATCACGTTTGTTTTAATAGTTCAAACAGTTGAACGTTTTTAGTTGGCTATTGGAACTACCGTGAAAAGATAAAAGTATCACGTAGAAAGATTTGTGATAATGAAAAGTGAGGTTGGCACAAGTAAAACACCTGTGACGATTATTTAGTTCAATGGAACGTGGAAGGGATAACATGGCCACCGCCTGGTGACGTTCGTTCGCCGTCGCTGTCGCGATATCAAATGCCCCCCAAAAACAGCTGGTGAACAATTATCAGTGTAAGTTCAGTAGTTTTTACGCGAAAAACGCGTATTACATTCAGTGAAAAGTGTAAAGTACAATGATGAACATGTGGAAAGTGCGGGAGTTAATGGATAAGGCGTAAGTATGATCAAGTCAGTTACATGCGATCTAACCTTGCTTTTACTTTTTTCAACGCATTCCACTCCAATTGCTTCGATACGCTGCACGATTTTTCGTTTACGCCTAATTCGATGTTCACTGATACCTACTTTGCATGCATTATTTAATGTACCACTGATAACGATGCAATCGCGTGTAAGAACACCTTTTTCCTAATATTAAAGGATTTTGTATAAAATAAATAAAGAGATCTCTTAGACTTATCATACAATCCTGTTCTATGATCCTTCGTGATAATTATGCATGTTACAACGTTACATTACTTTGATAGGTTATACAAGAATGATTAATCAGTTTATTGATTATAAATTAATAGATTTATATAACAGTAACCATCATTTGTAATTTCAAGGTAAATGTTGAAAATGTAAAACAACGAAATAAGCGTTCATTTTTTTCCTTTACACGTATCATTAACATTGTGTTACTCGCTTGTTCGGTTTTTAAACAATTTATTTTGGACATCTTTAATTTGTTTATCTGTCTATAACATATTAACATAAATAATATACAAGTGTTCATTTTAAGGTATATGATTAAGTATATTATTACATACTGTTGTATTAGAGATGTTTATTGTTTTTTTATTTGCTTCTATTATATTTATATTTGTTAACCGATTTTAATTCACGTTTCTTATTCTTTATTATGGCCATTTACATATTTTTTAAATACGATAATTTAAAAAATTTGCTATAATAAAACCGCACATTGAAAAAAAGGTTATATTTTTGCCATGAAAATGCAATTAACCGATAAGTTGTCTTCAACAAGCTCATAAACAGGTTGCTTTCCATAAATAAGTAAAACTACCAGTCGAGAATGTTGCATATTTAAGGGGAAGGAAGTGGGATTGTATCAATAAAATACCAGTTTTCCTTATTATAAACGTAATATCGAAAGTATTTCGATATTAGATCGATTATTTTCAATCGTGTTCAAAATATTGGGTATCGATAAAAAGTGTTTAAATTAAAAAGAAATAATTATTACAATATGTATTAACCACTTATAATATTTCCTGTACATTGTATATACATACATTTATACAATGCATAATTACTATTATTGTATGTATAACAATTCATTACCTCTACTTGCACTTTCCTTCATTTGTTAATGATGCCATGTGTGATTTTCACCTGTAAGTTACGCTTTCGTGCAATTTCGGTCAATGTGCGTGTAAAATATGCATCAAAATTGAAAGTTAAACAAAATTTGACGTTCAAGTGAACACGCTTCGCCTTCCATATTTTGCCTTTATTTTGTATAATCGCGAGGATTATAAGTATTGTTACGACATCGGGTTCTCATGTATCGTATTGTACACGTTTGTAACATTGAATCGAACAGTGGCGCTCAGTATCGTTATTGTCTATGTGCATTATGTTTTGTTTCATTTCAATCATATTTTTATTATGCAAGAGACTATTTTTAACGTGTATCGTTAATATTTTTGTTTACCATTACTCGTTCGAAACGATCTGCAGTTTCGAGAAATCGAAAACGCGACATTCTTCTCGCTCCGTGGAAATCGAGAATCGGAAGAACACCATTATCTCTAACAACACCTTCTGAATACAAATGTTAACCTGTAACTGTGCATACCCGAAGATTCTCGATTCCATACATGATTATTATTTTAACGATAGATGTATGCAGTTGCGACTGAATGATTATATATTATATTAACTTCATTCATATTCTTCGTTTAATAAAAAATGTTATACAATACTAAAAGTTCCGTTATTGTTAAAATGCGGTTATTAATAATAATAGGTTGTTTTCATAATCTCTTCTATTAGAAATATACTATTGAATAAGTTCACAGTTAATAAATTCAAAATGAATTACCTTTGAAACTGTTTATTTAAAATAGTTTTATTTATGATGTCTATTTTTACACAAAAATATTACGTAACTTTTCATATTTGAATTGTGCTATTAATTTAGATGTTTGTTAGTTACCTGTAGTAAAGTATTCGGTTTTAAAATAAACACAAGGATTTTATTAGTTGTAATAATTTTTATAAGCAAAAATAATTGCTATTAAAATGTTATCAGAATACTTATCTATATGGTATAATTATGGTTAATAACCGCAAAATTTATGACATTTGTTGCTGCTACATACAGATAACAGTGAGAATTATTTCGAAAAAAAAATCAGTTTTATTGTGGTCTATTTAATTTACGAAGATGTTTCGACGAATACAATTTCCTGAAAATAATTTTGTTATACTTGGAAATTAGAATTTAGTGTTTAGAAACACGCATATGCTACTGGAAAGTATTGTGTGTGAGCAGGGGCGTAAAATTATTGCACAATTAACAGGTATTCATATGAGCCGTACTAATACAGTGAAAGTAATTTTGCTTTGGAATTAATGAGATCGTTATGTGTGCTATTTCGTTGTGGTTATATACGCATAGAAGTATGTTTGTCATAACATAAATTAAAATTGATTTTACAGGACCAATGTAGTAATGAACTACACGGAAACAGAGGCCAAAGTTCGGGAAGCAACAAATGACGACGCATGGGGTCCCACAGGTACAATTTTTAAATTCCAATAAATGTGTTTCCAAAATTATATCTTACGAACCATTATAGTAATAAATACTTTCTAAAAATTCAGTCGACAAAAACCATTTTGTTTAATTAAAATTGTTCGATTGTTATTCAAATTCTTATTTAATAAATTTTCATAAAATTTTCAAAATTTCAGTTTAGTCATAAACTATTAGATTTTAATTAACACAATTGGATAAGCGCGGGAAGTTTATTATTACGAAGGTAAAGTAACATTTATTGATCGAACGTTATTTTTATTAACAGCACATTCATTTTTAAGCTCTCGGGATCCTATATGCTGTTAAAGATAATAAGCAACATGTTCTTAAAAATTCATGTATATATACACGTAAGGAGCATTAATTTTATTTCATTATTTTTTATACTGAGAAAGTCTATTATCATTTGACAAAATGTTATCGAAATTATTTAATAACAAAGATTTTTGTAATTAAACAATTCATTTATTTTTATGATAATCAATGTATTATTGAAGTTTCGTAAATAAATTTTTACATATGTTTTGTTCCATATTGAAAATAACAATCTTCGCTTCTTAACCTAATACATATTAAAGTTTTATATTATTCCTTGTTTATTTGTTTAAAGATTGATTATAATACATTTTATATTTTCCTTACATAATTTTTTACAAATTAACATAATGTATAATAAATAGTTTGCATGTTCCTTTTTCTCCTCGATTATTTATTAAATTTTACGCTATATTTTTATACATATCTTTTTACACGCGTTCGTAATAATAGCTACCGACTGTTCTGTAACTTTATCTTTTACCGAAGTTTGATACATGGTGAAATTAATTGTACCGTATGTATTACTTCAGGGGCAATGATGCAAGAACTGGCTCAAGCTACATTCACGTACGAGCAGTTTCCCGAGGTAATGTCCATGTTATGGAAAAGGATGTTGCAAGAAAATAAACGAAATTGGCGTCGGACGTATAAGGTATGTTCGGTTCAACCTTGTACTATAGGTATCATTCAATAAATATATTTGTTACTGAAAAATTTCTGATATATACGAATTAAATATTTTTGTTTCTTTTTCTAGTCTCTTCTACTATTGAATTACCTAGTTCGCAATGGTTCAGAGCGAGTGGTTACGTCGTCTAGAGAACATATTTATGATCTGAAATCATTAGAAAATTATACCTGTATTGATGAATTTGGCAAAGATCAAGGAATAAACATTAGACATAAAGTTAGGGAATTAATTGATTTTATTCAAGATGATGACAAATTGCGAGAAGAAAGGAAAAAAGCTAAGAAAAACAAAGATAAATACGTGGGTTTATCAAGCGAAGCAATGGGTATGCGATTTGGTGGCGGAGATAGGTGGACAGATAGTCCAAAATGGGGTAAGAGTAGTATAGATGCTTATAATGATTGGGACCGAGATAGCAGAGGAAAAGGATTTGAGGATACAAATAACAGGTGAATTTTAGATTTTATTTTGCATAGAATAAATTATATAAACTATACAATGATAGTTATTTTAATTGAAGATCTTTGATTATAAAATATGTTATAAGAGCAATGAAAGAAAACAGTTGCAAAGTATGTATAATCATTGGCCCAATCAACTGTTGGTATTAGCAATTGGTACATAATATATAAGGAAAAATGTGATCAAACATTTCAGTTTATAAGCATACAATGTTAAAAAACAAATATATATATCTGAGTAAATAATATTTAACACACAATCCTTATTAAAATTGAATGTGCCAATGATTATTATAATGTCAAAATTAGTTTAGTTTATTGTGTCTTTGATTATTTTAATTCCTTATTTCAAACATTATTTTACTTATTGTTGCATAATAGTGATGACGGCGAAAGAGAAGATTCTGATAATGATGTTCACCCAAGTCCAAAAAGGGGAGGTAGAGAATATAGAGATACAATGGATAGTATAGATCGTGTCAATAAAACAGTTGCCTCCACAATTCCAACAAACGCTTCGCCAGCTCGAGTGACGAGGACTATTAAAAAAGTAGATTTAGGAGCAGCCGCAAATTATGGAAGAGAACAGTCCAATGTAAGTAGTTAAATGTTATAGAAAAAAAAATGATTGTAGATTTTATAATTATATAAATTGTGAATTGTGAATGGTATTTACAGAATGGTATATCTGGATCCCAAAATAATTCTTTGTCTATCAAGCAAAAAAGCAAAAATGATATTTTAAATGATATTTTTGATTCTCAGAATGAGAACAACACTAAATCAGTCGTTGACGATGATGATTTTAATCCGAGAGCAAATACTCAACCTACTGTACAAACTCAGAATGCGAATGCAGATTTTGGTGATTTCACTAGTGCATTCGGTAATCCGGCTGCAAAAACGAAAGACAGTAACGACGAATTTGCAGATTTTACATCCGCTTTTAATTCTTCCGTTACGATATCAAATCCTCAGATGCAGCCGCAATTGCCACAAACGCAAATAAATTTAATAGGATCAGCAATACCAAATATTAATAGCTCAGTAACGGATAATGTAAATAATGCAATGTTCATGAATACTCAATCGGCTAGCTCACCTCCTTTTACAGCTATGACTTCTGGAAATACATTTTCTCAAACTTCTAATATGGATAGTAATGTATTTGATACTTTACAACCGCAAATGCTCAGCAATCAGCAAACATTAAACAATAATATAGGTAAGCTGTCGAAATTTAATAAGGATTAATTTATTTTTACAGTTATTTTGATACATAATTATTTTTGTATAGCGCCAACAACTACGGATCTTTTATCAGACTTAGATAGTTTAAATTCTTTGAGTTCTGGACCAGTGGACAGGCGAATAGATAACACCAACTCTAATTTCTTCATGAATATGAATTCAACAACACCTGTTGCACCAAATCATGGAGGTAAGAATATTTTGCTTACTAATGTAACTGTAAATATGATTTTATGATTCAGTAATACTGATTACGAATATACTAATCATGCTACAGTCCTCGTTACGAAAAAACGTACTTCTCGGTAGACGAGTTTTTGTTCACTTTATGCATGTAGGCTTTAAAGGTTGGAATCACAAGTACGATTAAAAATATGTTTCGGTATTAGCATTTAATTTTTTTGTGAAGAAACAGGATTTTAGGAGTCACACATATTTTTATTTTATTATTATATTGCCTAAATATAATATCTTTATTTGTTGGCTTTTATTGGTTTTTTGTTAGTAGTATACAGTTACTTATCTTTGGATAGAACGTGCCTATCGTAGTTTGACCGCAGTAATTTTACAAATTCCAGTAGAGTTTATGTGCCTAATGACTGTTAACAAAGAAATGACGTTTGCATAGAAATATTTGCTGATAATTGTCTACGTTAGTGCGTTATATAGATGTTAATGAATAAAGTGATTAACGTAGATGTGATTAAGCATTATGAATAATGTGAACCAAATCTGACTTGACATTCTGAACAGATAAGGACAAGTTTAGTACGATTATACTCATATCTTGCTTTCAATTTTTGTTGATCAAATATGCAAACTTAAAAATTTTTAAACCTCTAAATTTTTTAATTTCCAAATCTCTAAATAACCAACTTTTTAAATCTCTTTACATATGTTATGTATTTTCAAATTCCTAAATGTTCAAATCCCTGTATTCTCAAATTACTATATTTTTAAGTTTGGAAGTTTGTAAAGGAAAGTTGTTAAAAAATGAATGAGTATGAGGCTTTCTTCTACTACATTGACATTTTTCCAAATGAATTTTATTATGTTCCTTACTGTACTTAAACGTTTAATTTCGAGTTAACGTCCGTCGTCAATTTAAACGCTTCTATGGTTCCAGCATAACTAATAACTTTCTTATAACACTTGTGACGCCAAGCATGCATATCAAATAGTTCTTTATGTACTGTAGTTTCCTAAATTATCAGGTTTTTCAGTTGTTTGTATATTTTTGTTTCTCATGTAATCAGTAGAAGGACACAAAGTAAGTAGAAGTAAATTTAGTACATTTTTTTGATACGAGAACTGTAATTATTTCATAATTTAACAATATTTATCATAATTGAAAATATTTGAAGAATGTATGTTTTGATAAACTATAAAATTATTGCATTAAGTACAGCTTGGTATCACCTAATCATAAAATCAGAAAACTTTTTGATATTAACATATTTAAGGTATAACAAATTTTTTTTTTTTTCGCAATGTAAAAGAGCATGAACTTTTATTACAAAATTCTATGCATGTTTTAATATTGCGGATATATTTAAAGATAATGTAATGCCCCCAAGAAAGACTTTCCTTACAGCATACAAGATGGAAAAAAGCATCACTTCAACTGAAAATCTTTCAAAACACGCTGCAAATCGACTTTTGGAAGAATTGTGTTCCATGGGTTCAATAAAAAATCAGAATAATTTGAAGAAATTGAAATCATATATTTCTGATTATGTTACATTTTTGCCAGGTCCACTTACCCCGCAAAAATATAGCAACCTGGATTTCGACTTAGAAATCAATCCTATGTTACATGGAAAGATTTTAGAAGAAGTTATTGAAAAATTTGATCATAATTGGCCATTACAAGGAAATAGTTTAGATCCAACCTTTAAACAGTTGGTTATTATTGAGAGTACCACATTATCAGTTTTAGCTGAAACTTTAATTGCTTTGACTTATGCTTTAAAAGAAACTAAGGATAAGAAAAAAATGTTTATAATTTCAATCATTTTGGAGCAGTTAGTGAAAAGTGATTCTTTGTTTTCTGTGTTAGTAGATGTATGTAAGTGTCGAACACAGAATAAGATGCAAGAAGAGGAGTTTGAACAAATATGGCAAAATACAGTACAAATTATAATTTCATTACCAAACCGTATAGCTAATAAACTGGAAAATAATACATTTGATACTTTTTCTCCTCAAATGTATCTTAAAATAATAAGTTTTCATATAGCTCGTGCAATTTCTTTCATAAGCACTGGCTTGCATTACAGCATCGCAGTAGAAACAAAATTACTTTCATTTTTACTCAATAAAATAGTGATTACTACAAAGTCAGAAAATTTGTTACCTCTTATTGACATTTTAATGGAATGGTGTTTTCAAAATAAAAATAATGAACGAAATGTAATACAAAATATATTAGAAACACTAGATACACCAAGCATAGGACCAATAGCAGTATTATTTTTAAAACAATGCAACATAAGTTTTGGAGTTTACCACATTTTTGGAAATTTAATATCAAATTCAAATTGGAAGTTCGCATTAACGACAAAACTTCCTTTAATGTGTTATTATAACGATGATAATTTAGTAATAAACCTAATTTCGTATTTAGCAGAATTTTTAAATGAAAATCGTATCCTTATTGATTTATTAATGAAACTTTTAGATGTTTGGGGTGATAAAAGTGCTTTAAATCATACCTCTCTAGAACAACATACATACATCACTAAATTACTAATTATGTCTATAAGGAAATCAAAACGTTATATAAACAGGAATCAAAAAACTGATATTCAAGCATTATTAGCTTCTGGTATATCAAATCATCTTCAATCTACACATATTATTTTAAGAGCAATAGGAATGTCTGTCGGAGAAGTTTTTTCTGAAGAACTGTTGGAATCAAACGATGCTCAAAAACTTACTTTTGATTATAATAACATGCCTACTGAAGTAACAGAATTGGTTCAATCATTGAAAAAACTACATATAGTAACAGATACAAGGGAACACACTAAAATAAATGATTTAATCTTTGAAAATATTGAATTTGATACATTAGGTGCCAAAAAAGTATATGAATTAGGTATTGAATGTAATCTCCTACCTAAAAAAGAGGTAGAAATAAAAAATAATGATAAAAATGAAATAACAAATTTAGAAGATTCAATTATATTGTCTGAAGTAATTCCTAAAGCTGTTATGGCAGACGAGGACAATAACGAAAATAATTCAGAAATTGATAGCGACGACGATTTAGTTCCATACGATATGTCTCATGATACAAAAATTAGTGAAAAATTACGACCAGCCTATTTAAGAGATTTGCGCGACAATTTACAAAATGAAAAAGTTTTGACAAATCCGGATATTTTTTCAGAATCTTTAGAAGTTTGCGAGGAATTAATATTATCGCAATTACCAGGTGACGATGTATCTTTTGCAATTGAACTATTGAGTCTTCTTATTACACTTAAGGAAGCTTGTTACGTTGAAAATTTTGAAGTACTAAAATTTAGATCTTGTGTGGCTATAGTGACTGTTTATCCTAAAGAATGTGCTGAATTTTTATGCAAACAATTTTATATGGATCTAGATATGTATTCTGTAAGTCAGCGGTTATTCTTCTTAGACGTATTGTCAGAATCAGCAAGAAGATTGTCGCGTATTCCAGTTAGCGAAGATAAAGAAGATGCAATTGATATATCAAAAGTAAATTCAAGAAAGAAAGAAATTTCAAAGAAAATATCACTTTTTATTGACACAGAAAAAAGTAAACAACAAAAAGTATTATATAGTGACGATTTTGAAGAATTTGAAACGACGGAAGATCAAAACACAGATTGGCCTGAAATTATTAACAAAAGAATTGAATCAAACACAAGAAGATACACGCATGCAATGAAACCTCTGAAAACGTTTAAAAACAAATTTGGAAATGTTGCATCTTCATTCTTTTATCCATTGTTATATGGTTTTGGTAAACAAGGCTCTTGTTTAAATAGTGGATTACAGATATTTTTAGACCAAGAAAACATTTTATTAATTCGATTTTTGAAAACGTTATCTACTATAATGGTAGCAGCACAAAACTGTTTACTCGCTTCGAAAATGGGTAAAGAAATTTTAGAATTATCGTGGACACTGCGATATCACGATCAGGCAAAAGTTAGAATGGCAGTGATAGAAAATATTGAAGCTGTACTTATTGCAGTACCAAAAGATGTAATCATGAATGAATTATTTGAAATAGTTCTTGAAATAAGACTGTGGCTTCTAGATTTGTTTCAAAATGTGATCAGAGGTGATCATGATAAAGAATGCAGGAGTTTAGGTGCTAGAGCTGTATTTTTAATTGATTCCATTATAAGTTCAACATTTGAAAATGCACATAATTGAATAAGAAATGTTAATATAAGATTAAATTTACAAGATTTGAAATATTTTGTATAGTTTGTATTAGAAATTTATTAAATAGAATAGAATTTTGTACAATTTATTTCCGTATTATTAAAAGTATTGTATTTAAAAATATTAAAATAGTTTCTTTACTCTTTCATTGTTTATTACATGGAATTAAGATATGAAGTAATAATTAACACTGATAACATATTACCAACTATTGATAATAGTAATTAATAACTTAAATGGTTATTAGTTTTGTAATTTAAATAATATAACATTAAATAAATTAACAGCAAATATGTTTATGTATTACTAACTTGCAAAAATTTATACCTTTATGTTAGCTTACATAATAATTTTATATAATTAGAAAAATATAACAAAATATTGAAGAAAAGTTTGTTATTAAAACTAAAAGAAATGTCACATTTAGGAACAATTGGATTATCGCCAGTTGCAAATCTTCTTACTCCTTCATCAACCAATTCCAAAAATCAACCACCAAGTAATACATCTACACAAGTTGGTTCTACATGGGCTGGCTCAGGATTAAATATAGATCTCGATAACATTATGGGCAGTAAAATTAAACAATCAGGACCTGCCCCAACAATGAATCAATTGGCAAGTAACAGTCCACAACATCAACCTAAAGTTATAAGTAAGTAATTTGTAAAACAACTGTAACTCGTTCAACAATTTACAAAGATTAAGATGCAGTAAACTCTTCAAAATATATTTATTACATATTACTTAGCTTGATATACAAAAATTTTATTCAGTTGTGATTAATTTTATATTCTAATATTTTTGATATTTTAATATTGATATTTAAATGTTATATATTTATAACATTGTCTTTTGTATTTATTAAAAGTATTCATACTAATGTAATTATCCATATTTAAAAATTTATTGTAGTATTAATTAGTTTTAAGTGATACTATATATAGATATTGATATTTCCATTATAAATTTTAATGGTAGAAGATATAGATTTGTAATTTTCTAAATGTAATCAGTTTTTGCAGAGTATACTGTACTAAAATGGAGTAACTGTGTCACATGAAAATGAATATTGTTTGTCAAAAAAAAACTATCATTATTTTAGCATCACCAACGATGGGATATACATCACCTATGATTCAACCTCAACAACAGAAACAACAGCATGTAAATCCAGCATTTTTTCCTGCATTTCAATGAAATGTTTTTAATAAATCAAGGCTGATTTTAACAAAACCTGAATATATAATATGTGAAATAATTTGGAGTTAAAGCAACCAAAATTTATTATAAACAATATATTTATTTAATAAAAAAAAACAGAGACAAATTTTCTATTTTCTGGGTGAAGCAATCTCATTATACAGGGTGCAGTTATAAACAATTGCATGTTACAAATGTCAGAATGGTCAATGAAATATGTAATGTATATTACATAATCATGTGTTCATACAACTAAAGAAATTACGTTCAATTGTTCAGTTTTGTATACTTTTCAGTTCAATGATTTATTAATAATCCACAAAGTTAATTGTAATTGTGCTATTTTTATCCAAAAGTTAAAAAGAAATCACAATTTATTGAAAAGTATACTGCATATAATTGTGATGAGTACTACATAAAATATAAAATTATTTTATATTTTAATATTTAAAGCAGCTCTATAGATTAAGTTTTAATATGAATATGTATTTGTTGAAGTGATAATTCTAGATAACATGCGTTCCCAGTAACATTCCACAACATAAAAGTATTGCACTTTTTTTTAACGAACATTTGTTATTTGCAAATCATGGGGGAACAAATTAGGCAGATTTGTCTTCGATATTTTATATATGTATAATGTAAATTGAACGAATCAAGATTATGCCTTACATATATAATGTATTATAAGAATGTATGCATGAAAGAGAGTTCTAGATGCTCACAAAAATGTAGTATACTTATTTACCATTGGATATAAAACGGTATATTAAATGTTGTTTGAACTTTAAAAAAAAATGCTTTTACAGGGGTTGAATACAGAAAATAGAGTGATTGCAGTTTTTAGAAAACTGCACTTACATTAATAACGTAAGGATGTATAAACGATTTCAATTTTTTACTACGACTATTAGATATTGATGGTATTCGTCTATAAAGCAAAAACAAAGACGCAATAACATCATAAATAATAAGTGCTTCCCTGTAACAGTTAGTTTTGCACGAAAAAAAGTTATGTAAAATTAATATTGTTAAAAGAGATATAAATATGTATGAAAACATAATGCAGGATATGGTGATTTTAGTATCTTAAAAAGAAGCACAGAAGCACAAATTCAGCGCAATGAAAAATTTTTCGCGCCCTTAAAGCGCCCTACTCAGCATGGTGATTTAATAATACATATTTATGGTCCATTGTAAATTATTTAAGGACTCTGTAGTTACGTAATTATATAATTATAAAAAATTTAATCATCTTTGTGATTGAATGATATTCTAGAATTTTTGTAAAGTAGGTTGAGAAAGTAAAGATTAAGTAGCATTTCCTTAACTCTTTGTTACTAACAATGAAGAAGTGCATATCTTTCAAAATAATTGTTCGCGCAATTATTAAAAGAAAAGAAAATAATTATTAATAATTAGATATTAATTGATAGATTATTAAGTTGTATTTACTTTGTGTGCTGTTTATGATTTTATCTACATATATCTTTGCTGCATGATACTGAAATATATCTTAGAATTATTTGTTATTTAAATATGTAAATGTTAAAATATTTATTTGTGAAAGAATGTTGAAAACTTGACTGCATGTTTGTTATTCTTGTTTATGATGACAAATATTTGAAATAGTAAAACTTTATTTGCCCGTTATATTGTAATAATGGTAGATATATTTTCTTGTTATTTAAAACTTACAAGGTATTTCAGAGTTTGCAGCAAAGTTAAAATTTGTATTTACAGATATTCATGAATGAATGATTTTAGTACATAATCTGTTGCTTTCATAGAATATATGTTATTACATTAGTATCTACAGGACAGGTGCCCTAAAAACATATTTCATATGGTTGAAAGTATTGTACCTTTGTCGAACAGTCGTATTGTTACGTTGTTATCAAATTTTGTTTAAATCATTTCATAAAGTTGACGTGGAATTAACTTAACAGGCTTCTATACGAGTATCAGAGACTGAATCTTGTAAAGGCAAATAGCCCTTTACATTTTCCATTGTTTGAGTATTTTATATGAAATGTACTACTCGATGTAGATGGGAATATATTTTTAAAGTATTAAAATATACATATGTATGTATGTAGTAATATACATATATATGTATTAGTGTACAAACATAAATGAATATAGTCAATATAATTAAATGCGGTACTATCATCGATTAAACCACATGAAAATTAATATAGAGAGGCACAGTTATCGTTTAGATTTACAGAGGCCTTCATAGAGTGAAATTGGATTAAAACTAGAATCATGAAAATTAAATGAAATTCTTTCTTTGTTAGCAAATAGGTTTTATAAATTTGTACACAGGATATTGGTAAAAAGTTATACATTCAGCAACCGTTATTAATTCAGAATTCGACAAGTAGAAAGTGAAATCATTTTATTTAAATAATGTGTATGTTATGAATTTCCATTTAAGTAATCAATTATATTTTTATGCTGTTAGCGCGCGATGGTATTTTTCATTGTACGTTTTATGAATTCATGAAATGCATTAATGATTTATATTAGTCGTTTAATTGTTAAAAACAAAACATAATAAAACTTTTTAACATTCTATTGCATATGTGTAAAGCGAATTATAATTATTTTGTTTACAAAATTTAAAAAATGTCTATTATTACATGTAATATACGTATATAACATTATACTGAAAAAAGTATTTTTAATTTGAAAAAAGTATTAAATTGAAACTATTAAGCAATATGTATATATATATACTGGTACATATCAATATTAATCGCGCGTTCAGACTTTATAGCTAAAAGTTACGTATATCTTATAATTTTATGTAAAAAAAATATTATAAAATCGAAAATTATTGTTCCTCTGATAAAATTTAGGACAGTCATTATCACGATACATAGATGCGAATAATGATAACCAATAGCTCACTTGTCGATTTTTGACTGCATATTGTTTACAGTAGTTGCGATAATTGTAATTATTAATTTAGATATTTATACTTACATCACAGTTTTATCGTTATTAAATGCTCATTGGTGCTGGTGTTATATGAATTAACATTAATTTAATTTCAATTTGAACATTACACAGTACCTTCCCAATTAGCAATCCCTAATTCACTATCCTTCTGTCTAATATTTTCCTTCCAAAATTATGAAGTCAATATATTTAATTTTATCATAATGAATATACATGTATCAATTATTTAAAAATTTAGTCGTATTTAATGATTTATTCAGAAACATCTTTTAATTTCTCTTGTATATTTTTATTTATATTTTTCCTTGGTTTGTATTTGTTACGTAAACATGTTTTATAAATAAAATTATAAAAATAATCATAACAGAAATTATAAGTCTACGTACAAACATATGTACATTACATATTTATTGTTAATATTGTACATATTGAAATAATAAGGAATAGGAAAATAATATGTATACAATGGAAACAGTGCATAATACACACGTACATAACCACTTAAATTACAAGAGATTATATTTTACAGTTATTCTGTCAAAAATAATACATATCTTTTATGAAAATTCAAGTCAATTTATAGTTTGAAAAAAATATGTCTTTAACATAATTTTTCAATAATAATATGAAATTACTAATATACAGTGACCTAAGTAATGATTTAAAAAATTGCTGTTAAATTCGTTTTAAGTGTATAAAAGTATCTGAAACTGTAGTTTAGCATATAATTTTCGTTATTCATGGAATAAGGAAAGTCAGTTTAATTGTTAACGATTTTCATTCGGTTGTGTCTAAATTTTTCGACTTCTTCTTTTTTTTCTTTTTTTTGACGGGTTCTTCAGATTGTTCTGTAACTCCGTTTTCCACAAATCCATTTTCCTTCCCATGCTCTAACACTTCATCTTCATGTTTTCTTTTTTTATCTTTCTTTTTCTTCTTTTTAGGTACTTCTTGTTCCATACTTGCTATTACATTCGCAGCTTCTTCCAATGCTTCTTTCATTACATCTATATTCTTTTTCGGTATTTCACCAGTTTCATAGAATTTCAATCTGTCTTCTACTTGTTGCCGTAATTTTTCACCAAATATGTTAGTTGGTATATCGGTAAAACAATCGATTCTCGAAGCTATTGAACATTTATTCGCAAGGTACCTCGAAATTCTACCTTTATTTTTTGTACCCGCACGGCCAATGAAAGTTGAATGGAACAGTAATCCATATTTTGGAGTGTTTCCTTTTGTTTTTAATGCTCTAAATAAAGCCTTTTCTGCCCCTAATATTTGTACAGTAGAGGCGGGATATTTAGCTAAATTTGTAAGAGATCCAGCATGTGCTATTAATCTAGCTCCTACTTGATCACCTATTAACGTAGCTAAATTTGGTGCCACTCCCGCCATTTTAGATCTTAAATACTCTGCTAATTGTTTTCTGTAATCAGCCAAAGCGATAACACGTGCTGCAAACATTTCAATGTTAAGAAGATCAACAGGACTAATATCCATTCCCATAGATGATTTTGATGCATCTATAATTGCTTGAGCTTTCGCACTATCCATAACAACTTCTTCCAGAGCTTCCAATTTTTCATTTGTAAGCTCTTTTCTGTTTTTTATCAATTGTGCAACCTTGGCATACATATAATTTTCAGGAACTATTTTCACAAGTTCTGGAAAGTGATAACTGTACCATTCCCTGTAATTAATGTATGTACAATTATATATAATTCTGAAAATATATTTTTACAATTTACAGAAATTAGTTCTACACTCTAAATATATACCTTATGCGCATACTGAATGTATTGATATCTTTATCTAACTGATCCAACAAAGCTATACTTTGTATGATCATATTATCAACACGATTGACATTGAATTTCACTTTAGCCCTAGAATAACTATGGCCAAGTCCAAGTTGTGCAATTCCAGAACTTTTAGAAGTGAATCCTTTCACTAAATTGTGAAAATGAAATCTTACTCCTCTGATGATTTCTGGGACAACACCAGTATGATCACATTTTATGCCTAATGCTTCAGTAATACTAGCTCCAAGTTTTGGATCTGCGACACCAAGTATTACTTTGTCACTTTTTCCAGACTTTGGTATACATGAATCTAAAAATAGCTGCAAATCTTCTGGAACAACCCCTTCAGAAATATTGTTTATACTTTCCAAAGCTGCCAGAGCAGTTTTAAAAGGTGCAAATCCAATTAATTTTACAACTGAATTAAAACGTGACAGATCTGTGACTGATGCTTCAACTTGAGGCAGTAGCATTCCTACCTCTTCAAACTCTTTAACAAAGAACAGGGCATAGCCAGCAGCATGTTCAAACAGGACATAAAGTTTAGACTAAAACAAAATTATTTTCATATTAGATAGATTATATTAGATATGTATCTGGACCCCAGAACTAGAGTATATTAAGTCCACTATTTTTAAGAAATTATATTTGACACGTTACCCCTACAAAGTTTTTTACTCTTTTTGATGGAAAAAATTATTTTATTCTAAGTCATTTGGTTTTTAATCCTCTACATTTGAAATACAACTGAGAGGCAACACTAATGAATCATGGTATAGCATCATCTATGATTCTTATATCCTCATATACCATACATTTAATGTATTATTTACTTTGGAGTTGTATTATACATTCTGTTATATTATAAGAAAAACTTTATTACAATGACTAATCAATCAATAAATTGACTTATCTTTCTTATGCAATTGTTTGTGCGATGCTTACATTTTTGATATAAGGCTTTTACTTCTTTGATTTACTCTTCTTTAAAGTGTCACAACTATAATCTAACACTTTTGTTAACGGAAATGCATACACTGTGTTTCATCAATTGCTTCTATAATGGTACTGATGCATTTTTGTTTCTATTAAATATTTATTGCTACAGTACTTTTCTACTTGAACAAAGCATGTTGTAATTATTAAGGAGTTGAACATTTTGAACTAAAAAAGTTAAAAACAGATATAATTGATTAAAGAAGGTATGCTGCTTTAACTGAAGAAAATAAAATTTCACTTTACAATAAAAGTTTTAATATACTCCGACTTTGGAATCCAGATCTATACACACATTTTGTTTATATCTTTATAAACATTTAAATAAAATATTTTAATACTTATATATTTTCCAAATATAATAATTATTTCGTATAGATATTCGTGATATTTATTAACGGCGTCAAAAAAAATATAATTTAAATTTTATTTTAAAAACACTACAAAATTAATTATTATATTAGGCGTCGCTATATTAAAGTAACATTTTTCAAAAAATATGTATTTAATAAAAGATTCTGTTCAAAATTAATTTTATAATACAAATAAAGTATTAACTTACCATGTTTCCTGTATTCTATGTTCCATTCAATATTTCTGAACGATTAATATAACATAAATCCAAAACGTATTATTAGGGTTAGAAAGCGACCATGTGTACCGGATACGATATGGAGAGAAAGAAAGATGGAGTTCTCAATACTTCCTTAGATTTAAAATTCTACCAATGTTTCCCACAAAATGTGTGTATATTTTGAACTATCCATTACGAACTATACATATAACAGCAATTGCGTTTGATGTTCTTTTAAAAACGTATATCAAATAATATATGTATTTATACTATATATGTTCATAATTCATTGATAGTTCTAACTATTCGTATATGTATATGTAAGTACTCGTTGACTGAAGTTATAAGAGAATATTAGTGCTTTGCGCAGCTCGAATAACTTCAGAAAACCCCCCATTATTTCTATTGACACCTCCATGACCCACTTCCCATTCTACCATATATATACGTGGTAGACAAAAATACTTGAAATCAGTGAAATCGTGAATTACAGGAAAGTATACTAAATAAAAAGTCACCGAATATATACATTCAACATCGCGATGGTCATAAGAGCGCATGTATTGTTATTCTTGATTACGAGGTGTGCTACACCAATCAGAGTAAACATGCGTAGAATGAACGAAAACTCGTCGTTCGACGATAATATTCTCTTATGAATTGAAGTTTATCTTCTTTTACAGTATTTAAGTTTTACTTAAATTAATTTATATTAGCGTATTAATAGTTAAATATTATATAGATTTATATTGAAGTTGTGAATAGGTACGTTGCAATTCCATTATTACATAATTTTTTTAAAATGTATCTGAATGTTTTTTTCTGTTTGTAGGTTATGTTTACTTGCACCGTTTAGTGTGTACAGTTTTTATACGCTTCCTTATTTTTCTTTTTTATCTTCAAGAATGGAGTCTCGGACGGAATTTAAAATAAAATCTCCGCCGACCGATGCAATTTCGGCGGTAGAATTTGGTCCGAATTCAACGCAGTTTCTTCTTGTTTCTTCATGGGATAGTACAGTGCGATTGTATGATATTCATGCTAATACTATGAGATTAAAATATAATCATGATTTGCCAGTTCTAGATGTTGCATTTCAGGTAATTATAAATTCATTAAACTATTTGTCATTTCATAATTTTATAAGTGGGGTGTCTTATAGTTTACTGTACAAACTTTGTTGTGTACTGTATACATAAAAGCAAAATTAACATGATAAATTCTTTATTATAAGGTTGTAACAATAATATTAAATGTGTTCATTGTTACAAATGCAAAGTAGATATTAGTGAGCTACTGAATTTATTACAGACTAAATTTCATGCCTATTCTGCTTAACTTCTTTGCATGAAATTTTGATTATTGCAATTTTGCATAACTATTTTTAGAGTTTCATGTTGAATTAACAGAAATAATAATACTATATTCTTTGTAACTAACTTTTTTGTTACAATAATTTTGTAATTAATTGTGGATTGTTACATGCTATCATATTGTTGGCAAAATTTGTATGAAAAAACCTAGGGTACCCAATATTAGTAGCAGTTATATTATGCCTTATTTATTTATTATAACTTTTTAATTAGACATTTGTGTACTTTCTGCTAGATGATATTTTAGTCTTACTTTTACCTATAGAACACACTGGCAGAGTTCATATTCTTAATGGTGGAACATGCTGTACACATTGTACTTTCATAAAATAAGCAAATCTTAAAACATAATAACAATTGATATTTTATATCATATTATTATATTCATATTTATTTGAAATATAAAAAAAAATATAAACAAAATAGGTGCACATATTTAAATTTTTACGAAGATTTAAATGTAGTACAATGCCATAATACATTTCATATTATTTAAATTTAGTAATTTAATTTATCTTTAATTAAATATTTTATAATAATATAACATACATGTTTTTTAGGATGCTGTTCATGCTTATAGTGGTGGTTTGGGAAATACATTAAAGATGTATGACATTAATAGCAATACTGGTACTGATATGTTTTATCATTTTGTCTTTGCTGTTACAAATAAGAAACATAATACAAATGACTTATTTTATAGAATCGGTAATGGGAACACATGATAAGCCAATAAGAAAAATCGAATATTGTGCTGCTGTAAATGCAATATTAACTGGTGGATGGGATGCAGCAGTAAAACTTTGGGATCCCAGAACACCTACTTGTGTAGGTAGTTATTTACAGCCAGATGTTGTTTTGGCATTGTCTGTGTGTGGAGATAAATTTGTAGTAGGTACAGCTAAACGGAAAGTTTGTATTTGGGATTTGAGGAACATGGCTGGTATGTTCCAAAGACGTGAAAGTAGTTTGAAGTATCAAACACGATGTATTAAAGGTTTCCCTAATGAACAAGTGGGTTGTATACTTTATAATTTATGTCGATAATATTACCATTTACTTTGTGTATTAAGCAAATTGATTTATTTTTATTTTGAAATCATTTTCAGGGATATGTTCTTAGTAGTATAGAAGGTCGCGTCGCAGTTGAATATCTTGATACTACACCAGAAGCACAGAAAAAGAAATATGCTTTTAAATGTCACAGAATAAAAGAAAATAATGTAGAACATATATATCCAGTAAATGCTATTAGTTTTCATTCAACATATAATACATTTGCAACTGGTGGTTCGGACGGTTATGTGAATATTTGGGATGGTTTTAATAAGAAGCGTTTATGCCAATTTCACAGATACAATGCTGGAGTTGCTGCTCTTAGTTTTAGCCATGACGGTTCTGTGCTTGCTATAGGAGTATCATATTTGAATGAAGCTGAGATTCCACCAGGTGGAAATGATGAGAGAGAAATTTATATACGATACGTAAATGATCAAGAAACTAAACCAAAATAATATCACACTGTTATTAACAATTTTGTACAAAAGAAATAGATTAACAGTTTTTTAAATATGCTGAAGCCTTTCCAAACACTGATAACCATTTGTAATATATATACTAATAATATTCTATTTTACATTTTTATATCTTAAACAATTGACTGATGATTAGACAAATTGCGAATAAATTAATGAGCTGTTCAGAATTATTAGACTAGTCAAATGTGAATAAAATATTATTTTGTAAAAATGTTTGTACGAAGCATTTTTGTTTTATTTAATATAGTAAACTATTTCAGTAGTTCCTTATTTGACAAACTAAGTATTGGTATGCTTTATTTGTTTCATACTTGATTATTCATATTAATATTAAAATAAATAGTTATTTTTATAACATGTTTTGCTATTTATTTTATTTTGAAATAGTATTACATTATTTAATTTTTTATATGTCGGCCATAAATATATCTATTAAATTTTTAATCAATAACATTTTGTTCATCAAAATGTATTTAGATACAATTTCTTACAAAAATAGCAAATAATTAAATACATTATTTAAAATCAATGTACATTAAAAAATTTGTTTAGAAAAAATTTTCCTAAAATGACGTCTTTATTAACTGTCCAATTAGATTCAATTAAACAATAAAATGTTTTACAATATAAAATAAGATTAATATTGTAAATATATACAACATTAAAATAAATCGGAGCATTATAAAATTATAATACATCACGAAATACGGTATAAAAATAATAGATAAATTTTTATAAGAAATATTTTGCTCCTATATAAATAATTGTGCTTGTCATTAATATTGCACATTACATTTATGACATTATTGTCAAAATTAGTTTTATGTTATTAGAGTGGTGTTACATTATACAGAATTCAATATTACTAATTAATTAATGATACAAAATAATAATTGCTCATCTTATAATCATTTAAAAACATTTATATATAATATAGTTAAGTATTTTTAAAACAGAAAAAACTTTAAAGACAAATATTTAAAAAATTGTTTTTGCAAAAATTAAAAATATAAAATCATCTTTACGTATTTTGTACCATTAATTATAGAATGGGAAATTACAGGGGCAGTAGTTTCAATACAACTTGTGTTAAATTTGAAATATAACATATTTGTTTTTCATTGACTTCCGCATACTTGTATGACATGTATCTTGTCAGTAGTTCAACATTTTCTTTTATAACATTTTAAGTAACAATATATACAGTAATCATTTGTACTAATATTCTCCCTGCCTTTTGAAACGCGTTCTTTGAGAATTGTATAATTTGACTGAAACATTATCGCATGATTCTATATATTATTTTGTTAATAATTTTTGTATGTATGTATAGTTCAAAGGACTGTTTAGCAAATGAAAGTATATTTCTGCTATAATTAAATGTTCTATGTTAACGAATAATTAGTAGCTTTTTTTTCAGTTTCTCTAATTGTATACAGTACTTGATAACATTTGTATATTAATTTCATGAGGCGTTTCGACCAACAATAATCTTCCTTAACGTATCGCGGATCGTATCATTAGTGGCAAAACTAATTCCTACGGCGATTGGGCCTTTAACCCAATTCATGCTTAATCCTTTATAGAAGGCCATTATACCTTCTTCTCTGAAAATGATTAAAATTATATATAGTGTAAAATATACTTTTACCAGTAAGAAATGTAATAATAATTTGATTCTAATTTAATAGAACTATGCTAATCAAAACATTTTTCTAATGAAAATTAGTCAACATTTATCTTCAAATATGATGTACAGATTAATTTATAATCTTAAACACTTTACTGATAAAAAAGAAGACTGTAATTTTGAAATCATTATGAAATTACAATATTTGTATGTACATCTACATTTAGATTTGGCAGTAATATAATTTTATACATTCTTTATAACTTTTTCATTAAGAACTTTTCTACAACTGAAAAAGAATAATATAGAGTAAAGTTTTCATACAGGATACTTCTTTACAAAACAATCAAAGAAATGTTTTATATGATATTATTTTTTAGAAAGTTTTTTGTAATATCTTTTATTTACTGATTTATCAATAAATGCAATTTTAGTATTAATAATATTTATATAACATTGAGAATATATTATACAGACTACTTTTCATTTGAATCTAGTAAAGAGACATTCAATTGATAGTTATCAGTATTTTTTATTTCTTTTTTGTTTAAAATTTTTTGCACAGTACTTCACTTTCCATCTTTCAAGTCTATAATATTATGAAATAAGCAAAGGAAGAAAAATGAAAATGTTATTTGAATTACTCGGTGTTATTATTATAGATTGATATGATGCAGAAGTCATAAAGCTGTATAGAGTGCGGTTGAATGACATGTCAAGAAGAATTGGGGACAGAATAATATTTCTTTTTGGTATTTTATTTTCAACAATATTGTTGAAAATGTTACCCTCGCTCTTGTATATACTATTGTGCTCTTGTTACTACTTATATTTGTATTTCTAATAACGTATTTGGAATGTATAATTAATGTGTTCTATCAGTATAATTATGATAGAAAAATTAGCAAACTATTATTCATGAATAGGAACTGTGACAGAAAGTCATTTCTTAGCTGTAATTGTTAAGTGTTCATAATGGATATTTGAACTTGATTAGCTCGAAGCTTGAGTTTCAAACAAAAAATTATGTTGTATATTTTTTCTTACTTTTTTAACAAATGATCACATTTCAACTACTTGACATGTTATTCAATTGCACTCTATATTATGTAAACATATCAATAAAATTATTATTTACAAATAGTTATAGAAAGAACGATTATATGTGTCTTTATAATTATTTCGTAAACTTCTTTTAATTTATAAAGGAATGGTGCAACAATAAAATGCTATCTTTGTTGCAGGGAGAAGGAAAATAAAACTTAAAAAATACAAATATATGTGCATATGATTTCAAAGTTACACAGCGTTATAGAGGGTTGACAGCTATTTAAAATAAAAAGCTTTATTTTAAACTTACTTGTAAATTTTCATCACAGTTGACCTAATAGTTTGATAATGCTGTCCCTTGATTGCCGAGGTCTGCATTCTTCTCCGGACGATGTCCAACGGATAGCTGCTAGTCTGAGCAATCATTCCGGCAATGCCGCCGCAAATCAGTGATGTTGAGAACCCAGGAATAGCCACCGTGTACACTATTCATCGACACGTAGCCATCATCGAACAATGAAGCACGTACTTGAAAAATGCCGCCATCGGACTTGTCTCAACAAGCGTCGCTATTAAAGTAAGTACTGCCCCAATATCGGGAAACAGTCCCGATGTGCCCCACGGGTACCCTGCTTTACGATCATACACGAGCCACTCTTGTTCGTATAAATCACGATTTTTTTCTTTGCGTGTAAGCACCGTCACGGCGTAAAACTAGTTTGTGAAAGAACCGACTCACCAGTCAACAGATTCCTAAGTAGATCGTAGGTGAAGAAGCTACAGCCAGCATAGGGAATGACACCGAGTAATGTTGCAGGAAATCCACGGTAATAGGCTAATATTCCTTCTTCCATGTAAATACGTACAAAAATCTGTCGTAACGTTCTATATTCATTCTTCTGTGTCACAGCCATTCTTGCTCTCATCAAATCCAGAGGATAAGTTGTACCTTGAGATGTTATACCCGCCAATGATCCAGCAAGAAAGTTTAATCCTGGTTTTTCTCTGAATAAAAATATTTTTGGAAATTAAGTATGGTAAAACAATCATATTATTAAAAATTATTATTGTAGTTTAATACTATTACTGTAATATTTTTATTTTTAGTGCAATTTTGTTAATTTTTTAACAATAAAATATGAAATCTCTAAAAACCAAAACATCACAAATCATTAACTCTTTATTCACTTGTGTAACTTAAAATGTCCATATTAAATTAAAAATTTTCCCTTTCACCTTTCTGCTATGTATTATTACAATTTAAATGTACTGTAATAAGTATGCTACAGAATAATATAACAAATATTATGTTCTTAAATTTTGTTATTATTTAGTAATATAAATATCTCTAGACATATTTTCATTTGCAATTATAAGCATAAAATATTAATGTATAGAGAGTTAACATGTGATAATTATTTATGTTTAAAAGTTCAACCTCAAGTATTGAACAAATATTTGTGCATTGTATTTTCTTGTATAATTATAGTTCAATTTTAATATTATGGTTACCTTTCTGATCCATTTACTCCCAGAATTCTCTTCCACTGTTCATGGGCTGTGAACTGAACAGCAGAATATGGAATAATTCTAACCATAGTTGCACTATTTCCACGCCATAAGCTTAACAAACCCTCTGTTCTAAGGGTTTTTATCAAGAAATTAACTGCTGCTTTTGCCGAATATGGTTGATTCGAAATTTGGAAGTTTATTTTTGTGCGATCCAAAGGTGCTATTGTTGTTTTTGCCAATGCTCCTGCAATGGCACCTGACACCAAACTCGTCCATACCCTTTGTGTATTCGAAATTCCATTGGTCCCAATATCTTTTTCTTGTTTCTTCTGAAATACACAATTTAATTTTGTGTATTATATAGCTGAATATTAGATTTTCCATTGACTGAAATCAGATATACAGTGAAATTCAAATTTATAAAATATGTATCCAAAACATAATTTAATACATCAGATGATTCAGTTTGTTTAATTACAAGGTACTAATTTAATATGAAATAAACAAACTTCACTTTACTACTCACTTTAGTATCTTCATTTTCTATTTCCATTGAAGCAGATGATGCTGCCTGTAATACACACGGTTCTTTTATGGTGTCCAGCAGTACAGACATCTGAACTACTTTGAAGATCGCTTAATTCTTTTAACGGCAAACTTCTTTAATACATTGCCTTGTAGAATATTCTATAAACAAGTAAAATTTTTTGCAATTATGTAATATCAAACTAATATTTTTATATACAGCTATATGTTTTTATATACTAATATAAGAAATATGTTCTTAAATTTTTATTGGTATTATTAATTTAACTAAATAATAATTTTTAGTGCTTTTTTATATCTCTATTATCTTTTTATTTATTATGATAAACATGCACATTAATATATGAACTAAGGAAAACATCTTGTGCAATATTCTATTTACATATTTTGAAGAAGTATGTCAGTAATCCAATTATAAATCATTGTAGCATGTAGCATTATCAGCAGATAACATTTTATTTACTTATGTTATCACTTATGTTTGCGGATGAAATTCTAGGAGACCTTGACTTTTTAGAAGCTATCTAACTATAGATAGATAAAACTAATTCAACTATGTAATAGAAATTATGCACAAAATTTATATGTTTAAATTATATTATATAATGGGTCTATAAAATTTTTAAGACTAAATTAATAAAGAATTAAATTTTTGAGAAAACATTTTTATTTCTATTTAGTTTTTAATATGTATTGAAGAGGATTGTCATAAAACTTTTGGATTCTTCTGAAGAAATCAATTATTAGACTAGTTAATTAGCATATAATGTATATTCTTTTAACTAAGATTTCAACTAAAATAAGAAAAAATAGTTTATAATTGCTAAATCTAACCAATTAACACTTAACATTTGTGTTACTTTCCTCTTCAAGAAATTTTATAAAAACAGTTATGAGATGCAAGATCAATATGCAATAATAATTGTTCATTGAATTTTATAATTTTGGACATAATTTGCTAAAATTGTTTAAAAAATCATTCTCTCCTTTAATGCTTAAAAGCAACTGTTTATTTTTCCAGTATAAATTTTCCATATTATCATTATTATAAGACATCAAAGGTTAACTATATTTTATATCAATATTCTTGTACCTGTCACAATAAACAATAAACAAACAATATTATGTCTATGTAAGTAGAATTTCTATATTTCTATATAAGAAAAGTAGTATTTTCAGTTTTTGAAATAAAATTTCAAATCAATCATCAACTCATTGAATGCTTCATGACAGTTTATTGACACAACACAGTGATTAGTAAGTTATTTTCAAATGTGTGTGATTGTAACTGAAACCATATATAATTCAAGTTCACACATGTTACTAATTGGATGCAATACTTAATTGACAGATTAAATTTAGATAGCACTTTCAGAAAAAGTCAATCTGTAAACTTTACAGATTCACTATATATGTTACAACCTAATATATTATACGATTTTTTAAACATAAATAAAATAAAATAAAAATATAACTATCATTAATTCTCTATATTTTATATTATATATCACATTAGTAAGAGTCTACAATGACTTATAAGTAAACAAATTTAATAAATTAACACTTCACTGTCACATATATAACATAGGCTTACATAATATGTATCATAACATATTAGGAAATGTGTTAAATATTCTTTAATTAATTATAGAGAGATGTTCGTTTTCTATCTGGTGTAACGAAAAACTGTACTATAATTTTCAAGTATGTAGATACTGGGTCACTACATACGTGTTTTACATAATTATATAAATGAATTAATATATTCAACCCATGTTTAATAAAGTTTTGCATGATTGTTCAATATTGGGAGTACTGATAGTTTCAATTTAAAATTTATAGTTTTATACAATTTTCACATTTTCACTAATATTCGTAAATGTAATAGATACGATATCGCGTATATAAATTGTAACTGTTTAGTTTAAGGCTCGAATCAGTCAATAAGACAAGTTGATTAAAAATAAAGAAACTGTACCTTTGACAACTGTGTACGAGAATAGCTGATGAAGCACGTCACAAAGAATCTATTTCTTGTACAAGCAGTAAATACACATCGGAGCATTCGACACCGATTAGAATACTTTACATTATTACATCGGCGTCACGAAAGTTTAGTCGTCATTACTCACGACTCACGATGATTTGTACGCACACTGCTATCTAAGATCAATTACATCACAATATTACTGTCGCCAAGACCAAAGATACTTTAAACATATTATAATGTACAGAACACCTACACATAAACTTTATCAAGTGGTTTTAATTATGAACAAAACAAACACTGTTACGTACGTGTGACCTTCGATTATAATAGGTTACACATTGCAGATGGCAGTAGTTGTGGATGCAAAATTCAGTGCCATATGACCAGGGCTGAATGACCAATTCAATAAAATAGGAACGTACCCATGGGCATTAGAGGAAGGAAGAAATTTTTTATTATTAATTTACCATGGATTATATTTTTCACAATTTCAAATCTCCAATCTTCGAAAATTACAAAACCTTAAAATTTTAAACTTTCAAAGACTAAAATTTACAATTCCAAAATCCCGAAGTTCCATTAGTACGAGAACTCAAAATTTAGAAGTCTCAGGGTACACAAATTTTTAAATTTAAAATCCAGAAATTGTAAAGTTTCAAAGCTACAAAATATGACGATCAAATGTTCTGAAATTAAAAAATTCCAAAGTTTTCAAATTTAAAAATTAAAAAATTTTAAAGTCTGAAAATTTTAAAGTTACAAAGTTCCAAAATTAGAAAATACCAAAGTTCAAAAACTTCAACAATATTAAAGTACAAAGTGATATAATAATTAACATTTCAAGCTATTTGAGCCTCTGAAGATATTCAGAGTAAAAGTCGTTTTTTTTGTAAAATAATTTTTGTAATAATTCCTATTGTTTACTGATATGGGTAAAGTGTTTAATAATCATAATACTATTTACGTAATGATATTTTCGTCGATAATATGTTGCTAATAATCTCATTAAGAAATGAATACTTTTGAATATTAACAATGATAAGGATAAAAAAGGTTATAATGTTAGGTTTGTTATACTTGAATATGTAACTATATTTGCAAGTAAGAAACTGCCATCTCTAGGGAAAATGGCATCCAAGGAGAACAGGTTCCTACCATCCGCAATAATATTCAAACATTAATATGTATTATGAATAGTTTACAACAGTCATTTTCGAAATCGATAAATAATAAAATTTATTATTATAAGTTATTTTTTGCACATTTTGCACATTTCGCATGTTAAAATAATGATTCTAGGAAAAACATTGATTTTTACATTGAAATTTTACATTCATAACAAAAGCATCGCGGCATTTTAACATGTAAAAGTGGATATAAATGAAAATGGATGTAAAGTATTTATAGGTTGTTCGGAACGTCATTTCGTTTTTTTTTTTTTCGATGAAACGAAATACGATTTTCTTATAGTGAATAAATATTTTATTCTATTAAAAATAGAAATCCAATATACTTTACTATCTTTCTGACAGTAACATAATTCCACGTTCATAAAATTTTTGTTCTTTGCTGAAAAAAAATTGATGCAAGTGAATTTTCGCCTCCTCGTTTGAAGTGAAGGTTTTACCGTTTAAAAAATTCTGTAGTGATCGAAATCAATAATAATAACCAATATTGGCACTGTCGTTCTGTTAATGCATTTCTGTTAATGTATCTTCTTTATACACACCTGACAATTTTCTTCTCGCTTCAACAGTATTTTTACCTTTACAATAGTAAAAACGTAAAATATGCCGTAAATGCTGCTTTTCTCTTTCCATATTTGATGGGGCACCAACCAAAAACTATAGAATAGAATCAGTGGAAATTTTTCACAAAAAAGTCTTGCTATATCAGTTGTTAAAATGTATAATGATTTGCGGCCTAAATGTGAAGGTAGCTGAAAAAAAAGTACAATTAAATCCTGTGTTGAGAAAAAACGAAATTACTTTCCGAACAACCTAATAATTTAAAAAGTTGACAGTGTGTTGGAGACCTCATTTTTACGTCGATATTTAACATTTATATTTTCGCGCGCATTATTTAAAAATAGTTGAAAATGCGGCGACACCTTCATCCGGTTCAGCGTTCCGCCAACAGTGCAGTCACAAATATCAGCAAGCAAAATGTATTGAAAGTTTTATTCGTATAACTTAAATAAATGTGTGATCACATTTTGTTTCAGTTATTAAACTCGCGTTACAGAAAAGACATTGTTAATAGTAAATTTAAAAATGTCCTTTACAATATCCAAGTGAGAAGTTGAATTTATTTTTCCCCTTTGACGACGATAGAGTAGGGTTCTGTAAAGTCCGAAAAGAACTCTACAAACACTTTTGAGTAAAATAGGGTATTTTTACGTGTCATTTATACTTATAAATTATATTGTGGCATCGCTATAACACAACAAAGTTAATCAGCGCGCCACTCTAATGTAATTTGATGCATATTATAACTTTAAACATTAATCATTTGTTCTCAAGTACAAATAGAATTCTTGTCGATCAACGACTTTGATAACAGAACTTATCTTGGCAAACGACTCTGATGATCACCATAGAGTTGGAATTATTGAAACTGATACCCATATAAATACATCAAGAAAAAAGGGAACAATCTTTTAAAAAAACCGCCACAAATGCTGTTAACAGCGCCATCTAACAACAAACCGCTAAACTACGATGCACACGTGTAAAGTACCGACCGGATTCTGTCGGTACTCAATTCATTACACTTCAACGGTAATATACCATCAGCGAAGTTTCTGTTGTAGTTCCACGTATCACTGCTAGATGGCGCTGCGGCGACCCAGCATAAAGGGGTGTTCATATTAGGCAAGTACAGGTCAAAATAGCTTAATGTGAACAACATTTAATACAGCGCAACGAAGCAATCGTCCGATTTATGTATTCGTCACATTTTCTTCATCAACGTACAGTTATCTTCAACATATCAGAAGCAAATTAATTGCTACATTATCGTTATTCTTTCAATGGATTTTTATCAGCTGTCTAGAAGATCCGGTACTACAACGCACACTACCATGTACATATTATTATGATAATTTCGTCCTAGAATTAAGTGTTAATAATGTATCTATCAATAAATAAAATATATTAAGTCATTTGATGTACATAAGTGATTGAAAATAAATATGAATAAGAACATGTATTTGCATATTTACTTACTTATAAATCCCGTTATTCCGATCCCTAGAAATTCCCCAAATTTTAAAAAATAAAAAATAAAGAGCAAAATATTGAGAATTTGTACCAGGAGAACATGCATTACGAGGCGGTATTCTTTGTGCGTCATTGAATTTTCACAACATCATTTCCAAGGATTCCCGTGTGCGATTTTTGAAATTCCATCGACCGATTTTGACAATTTGTATCAGGAGAACATAAGATGTGAGGAGGTATCATTCGAGCCACTTCTTGGAATTTTCATGACGACAAATTCCAGGAATTCCCGGGTGTGATTTTTGAAATTCCATCGACCGATTTTGACAATTTGTATCAGGAGAACATAAGATATGTGGTCACATCATTCCTGCCACTTTCATGGGTTTTCATGAGATAATCGCGGATCCTGTGCATGGAATTTTCGAAAAATCAATATTGCTCCAATTTAAAAACTAATTACATCATCATTAAGTGTGGTCCATTTCATTCTTCTGGGTTAAGCCTCTTCGCAAAAAATTTACCGCACATGTCTAGCTTTTACGGTTTAGGACTGCGAAGGGTGTCAAAGTTAACTGATTAATTCCCCGTGCATAACACGGGCGTTTCACAAGTTAGTAATTAAGTGATTAAACAATAAGTTTAAATAAGTTATGCAGTGTATGAAAGGTGGCGAAAATAAAAAAGAAATTTATCAATAATCATTATGTATTTATTGTTACCTAACAATCCCAACAAATTAAAATTTTACATATTCGAAAGAGTGAAGTAGTATCAAGAGAACATGCGAATTCCAGGAGTTTGACGTCACCAAAATTCCAAGAAGTAGAGTGATAGATGCCTCTTTATAACTATAGTTCTCCTGATACAAATTTTCACAATAGGTCGATGGAATTTCAAAAATCGCGCCCGGAAATTCCTGGAATTTGTCGTCATGAAAATTACAAGAAGTGGCTCGAAACATACATCCTCACATTTTATGTTCTCCTGATACAAATTTTCGAAATCGGTCGATGGAATTTCAAAAATCGCGCACGGGAATCCTTGGAAATGATGTTATGAAAATTCAATGACTCACAAAGAATACCGCCTCGTAATGCATGTTCTCCTGGTACAAATTCTCAATATTTTGCTCTTTATTTTTTATTTTTTAAAATTTGGGGAATTTCTGGGGATCGGAATAACGGGATTTATAAGTAAGTAAATATGCAAATAATGACTTAATATATTTTATTTATAGATTGATACATTATTAACACTTAATTCTAGGACGGAATTATCATAATAATATGTACATGGTAGTGTGCGTTGTAGTACCGGATCTTCTAGACAGCTGATAAAAATCCATTGAAAGAATAACGATAATGTAGCAATTAATTTGCTTCTGATATGTTGAAGATAACTGTACGTTGATGAAGAAAATGTGACGAATACATAAATCGGACGATTGCTTCGTTGCGCTGTATTAAATGTTGTTCACATTAAGCTATTTTGACCTGTACTTGCCTAATGTGAACACCCCTTTATGCTGGGTCGCCGCAGCGCCATCTAGCAGTGATACGCGGAACTACAACAGAAATTTCGCTGATGGTATATTACCGTTGAAATGTAATCAATTAAGTACCGACAGAATCCGGTCGGTACTTTACACGTGTGCATCATAGTTTAGCGGTTTGTTGGTAGATGGCGCTGTTAACAGCATTTGTGGCGGTTTTTTTAAAGAATTGTTCCCTCTTTTCTTGATGTATTTATATGGGTATCAGTTTCAATAATTCCAACTCTATGGTGATCATCAGAGTCGTTTGCCAAGATGAGTTCTGTTATCAAAGTCGTTAATCGAGAAGAATTCTATTTGTACTTGAGAACAAACTAATTGCGTCATCATTAAGAGTGGTCAATTTGACTTTTCTAGGTTACATCTCTTCATAAAAAATTTACTGCGCATGTCTATCTTTTACGGTTTATGACTGCGCAGAGCGTCAATGTTAACTGATTAATTCCCCGTGCATAGCACGGGACGTTTCACTAGTATGCATAAAAAGAAAATGTAAATATAAATAATATTGGCTGCAAGTTTCCATTGTTTCTCAAATTGTTTCTCATACTTATGTTTTTATTTCATACATAGCCTCTGAAAACCTGTAT